GACACTGGTGATAGCTCCATAAAAATACAGTTCTGTATTTTTGGCTGCATTTCTGAAATAGGAATTTGTTTTCTGCCAGATGAATAGTTTTGGATCTCTTCAGTTCCATGACCATTTATCGTCCTAGACATTTCTTGATTGGCAGTCCTTAGAATTGGCTAAATAAATTTCTTTTGGGGTTGGGTTGCTTGTTTTACAGTTGAGATCCTGGATACTGTGAGAAGCCTCTGATAAAGAAAGCCCATTCTCTGGATTTTACAAGAGTGGCTAAGTTGGTTTCTGTAGCAAAACTAACAGTGTCCTGGCACTTTAAAAACAATTACATCATCTTTTGTGGATTAGAATTTACTTCATCGGATCCATGAGATGATATCAAATTGACTCTGATATATGTGCATAAATACAACTATCCAGACACATTTTAGATATTAAAAAGTACAGACTAATAATTTTATTAAACCTTACACACACACACACACACACACACACAGATACACATTAATACTATAGTTTCCATTTTCTGCAAAATTGGTAACAAACATTACAAGGTATCCATATTATCTGCATTAGTCTGTGGTCACTAAGATGTTAAAATATATTGAAAGTGCAATCTATTATTTCTTGCAATTTTGACTCTTCTTCCTACAGTAACAGTTTTCTCCATAAACAACCTGTATACAGTATTAATTGGCCAATTTGGGATAATACTTCATCTATTGGAGTTGACTTGGCCACATAAATCTATGCCATAATGTATTTGCTTGTCTTTAAGGTGCCACAAGACTCAGTCTCTGCCTCTGAAGATGCACCTTTTGCCCTTTTCAAGGCTAGATAAGTGAGATGGTATCTTCATCTGAGTGGATTGCAAGACATTCTTATAAACAAATGGATATTTATTGAGCAAATCTGGCTCCAGAACTCAGTGGTAAATCTTCCAACTGGAGGTGGGGGAGAAGACAAGGGAACCCTTCATGTCTCCCAGCTTCCTTCACTCTGTCTGTCATCTCCTAGTGTTCATGAGTTTGGTTTTTTTCTGTCCTAGATTCTCCTCTCAAGCCCTTGCCCCTCAGTTTGTTTTCTGCTATAGAGCATCCAGAGTGTGATAGTTCCTGTTTTATAGATGACTGTTTGGTTTTCCTGCTGTGAAGGGTGTTTTTGTTTTGTTGTTTTGTTTTAAATGGGGCATTTTGCTTGATGCAACAGGTTGGGGAATGTTGCTTTCTACCTGGATGCAGAACAGCTCCATGAAGTAGAATTCCGCCCTCATGTGGCTGGCTTTGGGTGGGTGGGAAAGGTAGGGTTGTTTTATGTCGTGGTGAATTATGTAAAAGTGATATTTTGGATAATGAAACAACTTTTTCTTTCCAGAAAAATGCAAGAAAAACTGCAGGCTAAGAGCTGAGGAATGTGATGGTTAGCAATGGGTAGAGGCTACTCAGATGTTAGGTCCCTGAGGAACATGTTCCTGGGTGAAATAGATGCAGGAGCAGGAGGGAATGTACTAATGTACGTAGAAGACATTAAACATTTGTTGTTCCTTGCATAGAAGACATTAAACATTTGTTGTATCTTGTGTCATTGATCAAATTTTTGCATCTGCTGTACACTGGCATATCCCAGTGAAGTAGGATAGCATTTCACTATAAACTAGCAGTAAACAGAGCTGGCGTATCTATATATTACTTTCACTTGGACTAGTAGTGTGTTCTAGTGGTATCCCTTGTCTTCTGTGCCAGTGACAATAGAAGCACTTTCTGACAACTTGCCTTTCACCTCTTTCTGATATCTCAAACTGTATTTTGTTAGTAAAATAATTAACGTGCAGGAATCTTCTTTTCTGGTTTAATAGCACTGCTGCCGTTTCCTGTAATATAACAATGAATAGATGTGACTGCTCATACAGAGGATCGCTCCTCCCTATGCAGAAAGGATCACGTAGTGGTCTAGCTGTGAGCTTCAGGCAAGTAGTAGTTCTTCCAAGTACTGAGGACTTACTCTCCTTCCAGATCTGATATACAGTATATGTGAGTTCTAGCTGCTTGCAGCTGACACTTGCCTGAATGAGAGGCACTGCACAGTTGAGTGAGTAGTCTCTTGATTCCCAGTAAAGATGTGTCACTATCTGGCTATGCAAAGTGTTTGGGATTCCCGTGCTGTTTCAAGTGCTACTTGTCCTTGTCCTCACCTGCAGTTTGCTCTGAATTTATTACATCCTTTGTCAAACTGGAATATTATGGAGAAACTAAATTATATTTGGTGTACTTAATGAACTGAACTGATGGACTGCTCCTCCCCACTCTCCAAATGTTGAAGGTAGTCCTTAAAAATATTAATTGAAATGGCTTCACTACTGCTTTAAAATATTTGTTTAAAACGTCGGGGAGGAACATTTTGATAATAAGAAATTCAGTCTCCAAAGCTGAAATACAACTGGAGATGAATTCTATATGTTAGGGTTGTAAAAGCATACTGTCATGTCCTGGGTCTCTCCTGTACAACAGTCGAACCCAAGTAATTAATCAGTATTTATTGCTAAATTATTGTCCTTTTTCAATCTGTAGATAACTGTTGGGGATTTGTTGCCACAGCCCCAGTGGAGGTGTTGTTAATTTATTTATGTATATAGTGTATGTTGATATGAAGCATTCTTTATTTTGTATATGACCAATAAACATCTTTAAAGAGGCTGGCCCCTATGATATCACTGAGCATGTTCGGGTTGCTAAACTTGTTCTGTTGCCGACAAGAACTTTTTAAGATTTAACTGTTTGCATGCATTGTGTACAGAATCTGCTCCCTGCTGCTTGAAAAGTCAAGTTAGTTTTCTGTTTGGATTTGGAAATTTCCCAGGAACCCTTTCCAGCTCAAAACATTGGTGTGATTGTTTTATTATAAATTGTCCAGATTGTTTGTCTCAGGGTTATATTTTTATCTGACATCGCTTTCCTCTAAGAATGAATAAGTTATATTCAATATTTTGTGGTGGATAAATATACTTATTCAAATAGCATATTCATTGGTCTTTATCTACTGTAGTACAGAAAACTACACATTGCTTTCTAGTGAAATCAGGTTACTGTTCTTTACATTAATCTTCCTTTTTTTGAATCATTTCTGTACTTTAAAAACTTTAAAGCTTGAAATCATGCATTTAAATATGCAAATCTCTGGAGTTGTGCTCTTTAACTAGGACATATCTGGATTGTAATAATCCAGATGACCACTAAACAACAACAAAGAGGTGGCTATTTGCTGCCATCTAATAATTATCTAGATTTCTGCAGCCCAGATAAGATAGCCAAGTTAGATTTTATATAGAACTTTTTAAAAATTCAGTTATATTAAAGCAACACTACTATTCAGGTTATTATGGTATGTGCTGGAGTTGGGCTAATACATATAGGATTTAAGAATAAAGTGAACATTTTTGTATTTATCCAGTATAGCATAATTATAGGTAATGGCCTACAGTAATTTTTCTTAATTATGTATTTCTTAGCAGTGCCTATATCTAACATTGTTGACGGTTCTCTTCAACATTATTTATGTTTGAAAGAAATCTGTCCTTACAAAAACAAAGTAATATAAGAAACATTTCTGTGCTGAAGTTTCCGATATCTCCTTCAGCACTCAACCAGACAAGGTCTTTAGACTGATAGTGTGGGAAATAGTACTGTTCTATTTTATGTCGAAATGCATAATGGCAACTGAAGCAATGTAAAAACAAAATTATAAGAACCTCTGTCCATTTCCAGTAGTAAGAATGCAACATTTTTGTTTTCTACAGATCACATTAGCCTAATATGATGAAGAAAGAAAAAGGAATCTGGATGTTATCTGGATCTGTGTAGTGGGAAGCACATACCTCTAACAAAAGAGCAACTGGTAGTCAGCATTTAAAAAAGGGTGCATTTACATGACCTATTTAGGCATGGTTCACTCAATCCAATTTGCTGGATTCACATGACACTGAACACAATTAACCCAAACCAAGCTGAAGTGCTACAGTAAAGCTAAAATGCAGTTGACTAATTTGTGGTTCAGTAAGTTGTGCAAACATGGCCATTGGCAAGCTTACTTCAAAAAATGTGGACTTTTTTTGCCTAATACAATCAATGGTATTGTATTGCTGCAAGAGCTTTAAGCTTTCATGTAACAAATTCAAGAGAATGTCAGTATGCAGCAATAAAACAAGCAAAGTCTCCAGGTCCTTTAAATTACAAGCTTTTGCATATTAGTTCACAGCACTAAAAATGGAGTGGTTGATGAAAGCTTATACCTAACGCAGGGAGGCCAAGAGTACAGTATTTTTAAACTTTCCCCTAATATGAGGTCTTTTTCTCACTACCAAATTTCCCTTTGTATTTCTAATGTATTAAATAAAATATTTGGTCGTTGGATTTTGAAAGGAATAAAATATTCCATTTTTTTTTACTCAGTAAGACCAACAAAATGTTTAATTCTCATTCTCCAATAGTTAATGAGTTAAATGCCCCGAGCAATCCTTTCCCCGTTATATTCCTATGTAACGTTCAGCAGTAGACAATAGTTCCTGGTTACGGGAATAAACTAACCAATATAAGCATCGTTATAGAAGACCTTGCGCTTGAAAGGATTGGATTACACATAATGAAAATCTGCTTTGATGCGGACGAACAGCGACAGAATTCACGCGACAGAAATTCACACGCGGCCAACACTGGGGGGCGGGGGGGTCTCGGAGAAAGAGGGGCCGGAGCAGCGCAATTATCGTTAGACCAGCATCGTTTTTAAACCCCCAACCTGAAAGAGAGCGCACTTCCGCAAGCAAGGCAGAGAGGAGGAATTCTACCCTATTCTCTATGGAGGTAATAGAAATGGCAGTCTTGTCTGCACGGAAAGACAAGTCTAACCGGAAGTCGCGGGTAGAGCTGTGTCCTCAACTTCTATCTTGGAACGAAGAGCCTTGGCAACAGCAGCGAACATCATTCAGCGTCCCCAGGGCAACAAGCGGTCGCCGCCGAGCGTCGCCCGTTGCCGGAAGCGGAAGTAGCCGAACCCTCTTCAATCGTAAGAACCCGGAAACTACCCAGGGGATGGCGGCCGGTCGAAGTTTGAGTCGCTCGGAACGGAAAGCGGCGGCTCGCGCTGAGTTCCTCCGTCAAGAAGAGCAGCGGGAGCGACGGAGGCAGGTACGGCGGGGTGTCCAGAAATCAAGCCGGGAGGTTCTTCTCGAGGCGCCGGCTTGGCAACACGCCCCCTTTCCCTTCCTCTCTTTTCCCCAGGTCTCCCGAATCCTGCGCAAACCGCCGGCCGACCGGAGCGCCGACGAGGCGATGCTTCTGTCTGGATGTCAAGAGATGGTGCGGGATCTGGAGCGGCTTCGCAAGAAGCGGGAGAGACTGCGACGCCGGCTAGAGGAGGTGGGTACGTTTTATAGCTGTGCTGTCAGTGCCTTTTGATGTATGCCAGCAAGGCTTGCTCGCCCCTCGGCTCCAGCGGTCTTCTTTTCCCGCCTGTGATTTATTTTCTTCATCTCCTCAGTTGACAAGTTTGATTGATGGTGGCCTTAACTAGGCAGGAGTTAAATTCTTTCCCCAGGTCTGAAATCAGCTTCAAGGTGTGTAAAATTAGCTGTGCTTTATCATCTAGGTAAAGGTAAAGGTTCCCCTCCACATATGTGCTAGTCATTCCTGACTCTAGGGGGTAGTGCTCATCTCCATTTCAAAGCCGAAGAGCCAACGCTGTCTCTGGTCATGTGGCCAGCATGACTAAACACCGAAGGCGCACAGACCGCTGTTACCTTCCCACTTCAAAGGTGGTCACTATTTTTCTACTTGCATTTTTTACATGTTTTCGAACTGCTAGGTTGGCAGGAGCTGGGACAAGTAACAGGAGCTCACTCCGTTATGCAGCGCTAGGGATTTGAACCGCTTAACTGCCAACCTTTCTGATCGACAAGCTCAGTGTCTTAGCCACTGAGCCAGTGTGTCCCATTTATCATCTACTAGGATGGGGGGAAAAGTTAGGTGATTGGCAATGAGTAGAAATATAGGCACAGTTAATTATATGCCCTCAAGTGAGTGTCTACTCTTAGTGATCATATAAATAGATTTTCTCCATTCTGAGGATCTGATCCCTATATGGTGCTTCAGGCAATTCACCCATCAACACTGTAACTGAATGGATCTGACTTGTGGCAGGTTAACATCTTCATTTCTCCCATCCCCTTTCTCAGCATTATAGGGTTCTGTAGAAAGTAGATCTTTGCATAATTATTATCCGAAGTATGATAATTTCAGCCTGGGCATTTGTGCCTGAAATTAAAATTCTGGATTGAGTTTCTTGATGATCCTTTTGTTTATTTTCTTACCTGTTTACGGTATTCTCAGAAGTCTTTTCCAATGTCAGTTCAAAGGTGTCAAATTTGACTTTGAAGAAGCAGAATTTCCATTCTGCTTCTTCAAAACTAAATTTCTACTTCATACAGTGTCACAAGGAAAACTATTGCTTGCACAATTCTGGTCTTTAGATGCAGGATAGGGATTGGCAATGAGGACAGTAAAATTCATGCGAGCTTAGCTTTTATTAAACAATTGATGACTCCTGGATCATTCTTTCAGAGTTATTTCCTTACCAGATGGCTCAATACTTCCAACAGTGAGAATATTTATAGCTTGAGATTAAATTGTGAGGTCCTTGGTGCTCTCTGCACTTGATGGTTTTCTTGTAGATGTTTCATTACTAAGCTAGGTAACATCAGGGCTAATTAGTGCTCATCACTAGTGCTAGCACTGATGATATTACCTAGTTTGGTAATGAAATGTCTGCAAGAAATTCACTGAGCTCAGAAAGCACCAAGGACCCCATGCTTTCAGCAGTGACAGAGCTTCTAACGGCTTCTAATACTGAAAAAGCCAGGATACATTCAGAGATGTATCTGCCTTGAAATTAGCCCATACTGAACTGTATAGCACAGTCAAACATTAGCACAGGAAATATTTTGTGACAAAATACAAAATCATTTTGTAATATATCATAAACTGTTTTATGATCATTTTATGTCATAAAATGTTTATAACATTTGCCAAATGTCAATTCCACAGGAGTCATGGGTCCTTGATTTTGGATGCATTCTGTAAGTTAGCCCACGTGAAATACCTTGCTTGAAAATGTTTTGCCCTATGGTACACTGTTTCACCCAGCTAAGGTTACAAGAATGAGAATTTAAGTAGTATACAGTAATATATTAAAGAATGGCTGGAGAGTATTTTAATTTGCAGGGAAAAAACATGTGGCACAATAAATCTGTCACATCTGTAAGACTTCTGTGTTTGGGAGGTAAGATAACTAACAACATTTACCTATATTTTTCATATAAATTAAAGTTTACTACTACTGGAAAGTAATAGTAGTATATTTATATTTCACTAGTACCTACAGTATTTGGTTGAATTTAGAAAGTAGAAATATTTTACTATTTTATTTTCTTTATAAATAAACATGCACAGCTTTTTATACTGTCCCAAAAAATCTCATTACATTTTTATTTTTGTTAAGGGTCTGCTTAGACACCTTTTCCATTATTACATTTTTAATGTTTCGCTTTTTAATGATTAACTAGTTTATTTAGATATGGGTATACAAAAAGCTTCAAATGTAAATTGACCATTACATGTTTAGCATAAACATCTCTGAATCTCTGTGTGCTGCTTGTGCTTGTGGTTGAAATGAACCCAAATTGTTCCATTTCCCTGAATGTCTTTCTGAAGTTTTGTTTAGCATTTACCGTGTTTCCCTGAAAATAAGACAGGGTCTCTGTTGACCCCAAAAATAAGCACTTGGCCTTATTTTTGGGGAGGTCTTATTATTTTTGAGGTGCAGGAGGTGGCGAGTGTGGTCACCTCATGGCTGTTGTGTTGAAATATTTTTGGGAAGGATTTATTTTCAGGATAGGGCTTATTTTAGCGCATACACTCAAAAGCCCGATTGGGCTTATTATCCGGGGAGGTCTTATTTTGGGGAAGCAGGGTAAAATGGCAGAAGAAAAACTATTGTAAATTAAACAAACAAACAAACAATGGAAGTTACTTCTATAGTTTCTTTCAGGAGAGGTTTTCACTGGATTTCATTTCCAATTGTGAACTGAAGGCCTTTTGTTTCTGGAAAGGCAGATCTGGATCTAACCCTCCTTCATCACTTCAGTTGGTTGCCTTCAGTAGGCTTTAAACAACCTAATTGTCTTTTGAACTGGTTTTGCTTGTTGAGAATTTTGTGCTTTTTCTTGCTGACAGATAAAACTAGATAAGATTTCTGCCAAATTTACAGAAAAGGAACTTGTTAGTTTATCTGCATCTCTTTTTGGCAATTAATTTTCTTCTACTTGAAGAAGAAAGGTAGTAATTAAAGGTAGAAATAATAAAGATAAATATATTAATGAACAGTTCCGGCATGTTTCATTGAGGCACCAAGTAGATTTATAAGTACATGGTAGGAGAGCCAGTGCTTATTCAGAAAAGTATGTAATTTCTAATTTGGCTACTTGATATTGTAAAATTCAATCTCTGCTTTCATCCACATTTCCATCTGCTTGAAAGAATATAAATGATGTTAAAAAGCGTTCCAAATATATTAGTTATGGTAATAGAATACATGGGAGACCTTGAGGAAAGAGGACAAGAGATCCTGCCTGGGAAAGAATCAGACAAGAGGGGAAGGAGCTCTCAACAATCAGAGAAGGAAACTAAGGAAGGACCCATCCTAATGGAACAAGGAGATAAAAGTGGAGGGGAAGAAATTTGTGCTTTTAGACTGGCAAGATTGATGCTGGCCTTCCCTGGCAAAGCAGACAGGAAACACAACTAGATGAATTAAATCTATTTTATTGTAAGGCTACAATTACAGGAATGGACAAAAGCTAGAAACGAAATTTGTGGATTTCATCGTTTTGGAAAATATGAGATTTTTACTCTTCCTTTTTTTAGGTGTGTGATGAGCCTGACGAATTGAAGAGAAAAGTCAGCAAGCTATCTGCTGTTGTCCGAGGAGCTAAACATCTTGTTGTATATACAGGAGCTGGCATAAGTACGGTAAGGTTGTATCACTGTCTTTCTAAAGTCATCAGCAACTAAATATTCTTATAACTGAATTACCTATCTTGCTCATCATGTGAGAGTTGCCTTGTTTTGAGGTTTGAAAATTCTTAAACGCTCCCATGTCACACAAGTTGAAATAATTGGTTTTATCACCTTCTGTAGAAACACAACTTGAAAGCATTTTGGCATTTTAAGTTATGACTTTTATGTTGTATATTGACACTAGCATTGTGAAAGTCTGGGAAAATGGGGGGTGAGGGGAAATCAGAAAAACTTTTCATTTTTCTTCCCATCTCTTTGGGGAAAAAATGTTATTTTTTCTGCAATGTCTTTCCTAAAAAGTTCAAAAAGATTAGATTGTTTTATGAATTTAAGAAAAGTGTGTGTTCATTGCACTCATGATAGGTAGCATTCCAAAGTTGGGTATTGATCATTGGTGTAAACTGTTTGGGTATCTTTAAAGACTGGTAGAAACAAGTAGGATTCTATATACAGTACCAATCTTCTAAATTTAAATTGTCAGTAAAAATCAAACTGTAAATTGAGCTGTTCACATCTCAAAAACCCAATCTTGTTTAGAATGCAAAATACACTATATTGCCAAATTATTCGCTCACAATTGATTCTGATTATGTGGATAGGTGAGCGAATACTTTTGGCAATATAGTGTATATCTTTGGAAGTAGTTCTCTGTGAGAAGGAATGCTGGAGAGGTATAAAATATGTGAATACTTCACACTTTTTGTGCTTTGGGGAAGAAAAAACTGTGACAGACAGCTAAATACTGTGAAAGTGGAAGTGAGTTCCTTAGCTGGTTGATAAATCCTCATATTTTGCATAACTATTTTATCCAAAAAAATTGGAGATGTTAAGAGAAAGATAAACTACACCCTTCCCATGTAAAACCTTCGAGCCACGCAAAACTCATTGTGACTTTTTGGCCATATCTATTCAGTTTACTTAGTAATAGTGTTTTGCAGGTACAACACAACAGTCCTTGATCCTGCTGGGCCAAAGCAGCATGTTATATACATAGCTGTAACTTTAGAATAAACTGGAAATTGTCTGTTGTTTTGTTCAGGGTAAACATTTAAGGGATGCAGCTTGAGTTGATGGATAGATATACTATGAATGGCTTAGATCTTTGGGTGATGGCAGCATATTTGGTACAAAGAAGTAATTATCGAAGTGACACTGTTTTTTTTTTTTACAACAATCCAGTCATTTCATGGCATGGAAGTAAAAGGTAGAGATGCTTATCAATACAGGCAAGACAATGCATTCTTAAAATGAAACCAGTAGAGTTTCTTTTTCTTTGTGACTCCTTACAGGCAGCTTCAATTCCTGATTACAGAGGCCCAAATGGGGTGTGGACAATGCTCAAAAAAGGGAGAAGTATCAGGTAATTGGTTCAAAAGCATTTCTTATATTACATTGGAATCCTGGTTCTTGCTTTTCATATTCCTTTTCTTTCAATGAATCAGGGCTACCGATCTGAGTGAAGCAGAGCCCACACTCACCCACATGAGCATTGCTTGTTTGCACAACAACAAACTGGTAAGCTCTTTGATTTTCAGTCCTGCGCTTCTGAGACAGTGGTGAAAGTCAAAAATTTTTATTACTGGTTCTGTGGGTGTGGCTTGGTAGGTGTGGCAGGGGAAGGATACTGCAAAATCTCCATTCCCTCCCTATTCCTGGAGCCAACCAGAGGTGGCATTTGCCTGTTCTCCAAACTACTCAAAATTTCCACTACCGGTTCTCCAGAACATGCTGGATTTCACCCCTGTTCTGAGGTCATATTCTTACAGCGACTCTTAGGTTTGCTGCATGTTGTATCTACAACATTTGTCATATTGTTTCTAGATGCTTTTATAAAAGAGAAGACATAGAGAATCTATTGATGCCACTGTCTAAATGAGTGCTTTTTAACCTGGACGATTTTAAGATGTATGGACTTCCAACTCGAAGAGTTCCCCAGCTTGGGTTGAAATCCATACATCTTAAAGTTACTGAGGTTGAGAAATACTGGTCTAAGTCATAGATGTGCAAACTGACATGCAGAGGGGCTGGTATTTCCAACATTCTACACGTTTCCTTTCTTTGTTTTTCTTGCTTTCTTTCCGGCTTCATCCCTGTTCTGTTTTCACTACTGTGTTTCCCTGAAAATAAGACAGGGACTTATTTTCTTTTTACACACAAAATATGGCTTGGGCCTTATTATGAGGGGAGGGTTTATTGTTTTGGGGTTGCCAGGCGGCTGCTCTCTTACGAGTGGGCTCCCAAAGAGCCGGGCACAGCCTCATGGGCGAATGGCTGTGTTGCATTGTTGCAGCAGCGCAACACACCAGCCATGAAGCAACCACACTCACAAACAGCCACCCGCCAACCAATGTTCCCTCTAATTTTTTTTCAGTGTGNCCCTCAGGGAAAAGGGCGGCCTATAAATAAACTCAACTGAAACTGAAACTGAAACTGAAACAGACGTAGCCTGCAGTACTGTGCTCTAACCACTGTGCCACCTTGGCTCATAATTGTGTATATTTGCACACAAGTCAGGGAGTATCATAAGGCTTGCCTGAGGAAGTTCAAGAATTATTCTTTGCAAACCTGTGTTTGTATTTGTTTCTCATAGAAGGAGATGCTCCACTCACCACCTTAACTAGTTTCAACCATACTCATAATCTCCACCCAGAAGAGTGAAAGATGAGGCTGCTTAGGAATTATGAGAGCTAAACTCCAAAACTTCTGAAAAGCATCAAGTTAGGAAAGATTCCTTTACATCCCAAGCTATTAGTGACCCTTTCTTTCCACAGAAGAGACATTAATACAATTTATCATACTATGGACAATTCTTTTTCCTCCCATATTAATAAAAAGAGAGAAGATAAAATCCCACCTATTCCCAGCCAGATCTTTTCCTAGTCCACATGTTGCCTTGCTCAAGACTTACATTCATTTATACTACTCAGCAACCTCGTGCTGTTATCTTTGGTGGTTTATTCTAGTCACTCACTGAAATGTCAGTCACGGTGCCCAACTTTTGTGGCTATTGGGGTGAATCGGTGAGTCACAACCTTTTATCCTTGTGACCACTGGTCATGTCGGGTCCGTGTTGTGCAGGCGCATAACTTTGCAAGCCTTCCTTTATTTCCCTAGTGGAATGCACTTTCTGTCATAAGCTGAGTTGGATATTATTTATTCTTCATAGGAGAGGCACCACATCATGATGTAAAAACTAAAACCTTTGTTTTCTTAGCTTGTTTCTTTGTCTGTATGTATGAAGGTTCTTGTGGACTAGGAGGTCATACTCTTTTAAGGATTGTTCTTAGTTGTAGGAACCTTCCATGAAAATAAAACTATATACGAACAAACTTCTTTCCAGCCTACTTCCTACTTTAAAATGTTTTTTAAAAAAATAAAGGGGAGAGGAAGGGATTTTAGAGGCAGGACAGTATAACAGCAATTATAAAAAAAGCAATGCCCTGCATATACTCATTTAAAAGGAAATAATCTTTTTTTATTTATCATATGTACTCTAAGTACTTCTGCCAACCTAGCAGTTTGAAAGCATGTAAAGATACAAGTAGAAAAATAGAAAACCATCTTTGGTGGGAAGATAACAGCATTCCATGAGCCTTTGGCGTTTAGTCATGCTGGCCACATGACCACGGAGACGTTTTTGGACAGTGCTGGTTCTTCAGCTTTGAAACGGAGATGAGTACCACTCCCTAGAGTTGGGAACAACTAGCACATATGTGCGAGGACAACCTTTATCTTACTCTAAGTACTCAAATTGCACCTTACAGCTCTTTAAAATAAATTCTGTTTCTCTAAAACATTGAATTCTATACTTTGTATAAATGAGACAATTCAAGCCACTGTCCCTGTTGTCAGTTCTTAATGATGTAGCTGCTGTATTGAAGCACAGACTATTTGTGTTCAGAATACTAGTTATCCTTCAACATTACCAACTTCTCTTTTCCCAGGTTCCAAACAAGTTATGTCATACAAAGTCTCACATCAGGTCTTTCTCCAGTGAGGGCATTAATAGATCATCTTTCTTTCTCTGATTTAGGAATTTTTTTAAAAAGAGCTTAATTAATTTCTAAAAAACCTAGCTACAAACAAGTCTAAGCAATTCTAGAAAAGCCAACTACAACTACAACAACTAAAAAGCAACCATTCTTAAACAATGTCAATAAAATAACAACCTTCCATGAGAGAGAGAGAAAAAACCCATCCCCAACCATCCATCTTAATCCAAAGCTTGGAGGAAGAGCAAGGGTTTTTTTCAGAATGCTTAAAGATGGGCAGTTTGAGAGAATCTCCAGTGGATTTTGTTCCAAAGAGCAGTGATAGAAAAAGTTAGCTGCCAGGGTTGTGCTAAATGGCATTGCTTAATCAATGGTACCCAAAGCAAGCCAACCCTGTCACAGGGCACAAGTTGACGCATCGTACAGGGAACAGACAGTCCCTCAAACAACTAAGCTCAGTGCTACGTACGGCTTGTTAGATGACAACTGCTTCTTAATTACACCTGGAACCAACTGGAACCAGTGTAACTCATGTAACAGGAGTGTTATATGGGCATTGTGAGTGTTGCACATTACAGCTGCTGCACTCAGTGGCAGGTCTGAAAGGTGTTACTTGGAACCCTGACACTGAGCAGTCTTCAAGTGTGAAATGTATTGCTATAGTCTATCCAGAAAGTGACCACATGCAATCCCATTCAGAACTAAGGATGTATGGTCCTCAGAATAGGAGGACTGAGAACCACAGGCACTTGATCTTCCTAGAACTGAGTATAACACCCAAAGCTGCTTGTGCTTTCTGTTACTACAGAGAGAGGAATCCCGCCTAACAGTGACAGTGTGGGCGGGCATAAAAGGAGAAGAAAAGGAGGAAATGTGGATTGTGATATCATGACCCCAAATCCTGTGAGTTACAATATTCCATCCAATATTAAGAAATGAGTACTGAGTTTGTATTGTGGCATCACAATGTCGATTTCATTTTTTTCATCTTTACAGTTGGATTGGACATCTATGACTGCTGATCAGAATGCCTCAGGGACAATGTTCCCTCTAATTTTTTTCAGTGTGTGCGGAAAAGTATAGTGTTTGAGCGGCACATTTTCATGCCTGAGCACCTGAATTTTTTTCACAGNTCCTTCCTTCCTTCCTTCCTTCCTTCCTTCCTTCCTTCCTTCCTTCCTTCCTTCCCTTTTCCACCACAACAAGAATGACCAGGGGACTAGAGACTAAAACATATGAAGAATGGTTACAGGAATTGGGTGTGTCTAGTTGAATGAAAAGAAGGTCTAGAGGAGACAAGATAGCAGTCTTCTGATATCTCAGGGGCTGCCACAGAAAAGAGGGGGTCAACCTATCCTCCAAAGCCCCTGAAGGCAGGACAAGAAGCAACTGATGGAAACTAATCAAGGAGAGAAGCAACTTGGAACTAAGGTGGAATTTCCTGATGGTGAGAACAATCAACCAGTGGAAGAGCTTCTCTCCAGAAGTTGTGTTTGCTCCATCACTGGAGGCTTTTAAGAACAGACTGGACAGCCATTTGTCCGGAAGGGTAGAAGGGTCTCCCACTTGAGCAGGGAGTTGGAATAGAACCCTTCCCAGGTCTCTGCCAACTTTATCATTCTATGTCAGTGTTTCTCAACCTTGGCAACTTGAAGATGTCCGGACTTCAACTCCCAGCAAAGCTGTCTGGGGAATTCTGGGAGTTGAAGTCCGGACATCTTCAAGTTGCCAAGGTTGAGAAACACTGTTCTATGTTCTTCTTGTACTGTTTTGAATTAGAATTCACCTCTGCTGGGTGTGTTGAATTAGATTGGAGATGCAGAAGTGGGGAGAGCAACTTAATTCTCTCCCTGCATTCCTGGGGCTTTTGACATGCTGGGAAACTCTGGGAAAAATCCTTTCCAAGCTTGGCATCCAAACCATTTCCCAGGGCCGAGACAACTATTGAATACTTCATTTCATTTGTTCAACTTGCAGAGCTGCCTATTTCACATTTGTGATTCTGGGCAGCTCCTATTGTGAGAAACCACCATATAATATAACCAATAAACAAACTCCAAAAACCAGTCAAACCCCATTTGAAAACCGAAAATTGCACCCAAGAAACAGAAAAATGGGCAGCGAAAGTCATGAATAGAGGCATCTAGGAGAGTCTGAAGCAGAACCAGATTCCCAAGCAATGTTCCCTCTAATTTTTTTTCAGTGTGTGCGGAAAAGTATAGTGTTTGAGCGGCACATTTTCATGCCTGAGCACCTGAATTTTTTTCACAGGTGTTTCACAGAGCAATTGATTTATAGGATCCGAATTGGAATGGAGAAAAATGTGTTTTTGTGTGTGTGTGTGTGTGTGTGTGTGTGAGCGATGGATCCAGTAAGGGAACTGTGCCTATTTAGAAAAGAAGGTAAATTAGTGCAAACATGATCAGTCGAAGATAAGTATGGGGACATTTTGGGCGGTAGAGAGAAAGTGATAAAAGAGAGGAAGAGAGGAAGAAAAAAGAGGGAAGAGAGACAGAGAAAGAG